AAGTGGACTATTTTTTTCAGTTCTGAGTGTCACATTTTAGGAAGGAAAGCGTGGGAAGCTGGAGCATGTCTAGAAAAGGCTAACCAGTAGGATGAAGTAACTTGATTTCATTTCCCATCTGGCTGTGTTCCAATGGACCTCAATATACCCCAGGAACCTCTTTACTCCTCAAGATCATATCAGCCCTGGAACTCCCACTTGTCAGTATCCTCTGTACTGTGCCCTTCTGTCCCTCTGATAGGAAGGTGGAAAGAAGGGAGCTTCTCCCAGAATCTCAACTTAAGGAGGGCCTCCAGGCCATCCATTTCATTTCCCATCGGGCTGAACTCAGGACTTTTATCATGCACCACCTCCCCACACCCTTTAGGGCTTCCTTTTGTGTTTTGTCTTTCCTCCTTAGATTTACAATCTAAGAGCTTACAGCTCTTTGAAGGCATGAACTCTTGGCCTTTCTTTGTATCCTCAGTACTTAGCACAATGCCTGACACTTAATAGGCGATTAATAAATGTTTACTGACCATCCACAGACCCACATCACATACAGTTCAATGTATAATTCATATAATTTTATTCCATTTACTAAGTCCTCCCCCTTCTTCCTCTACAATATCTTTCACATTTATCAATCCAACAATTATTCTTCAAACATCTATATAAAAAGGAACTAGAGATGTCTAGACTAGTGAAAAGAAAAGTTGGGGGGATGGTAGCTGTGTTCAGGGCAATGTAGTGTAGACAGAGAGATTCCGGAAAACTTTTATCAGAATTCTGCCTTAGATATTAGGTGACTTTAGACTAAATTACTTAAGCTATCTCAGCCTCAGTTTTCTCATCTGTAAAATGGAGATAATGATATATGTAGCTCTTACCTCAAAGGCTGGTCAGGAGGATCAAAAGAAATAGTCTATGTTGGCTATATGTATGAATTCTTCAAGTAATTAAAGAGTTATCAGGTAGAACTGGAATTCATTATACTTATCTGATTCTTCTTTTACAACATGACTAATGTGGAAATATGTTTAATACTATTATACATGTATAACTTATATCAGATGGTATGCCATCTTGGGGGTGGGAGAGGGGAGGGAGAAAAAATGTAGAACTCAACATTTTATGAAAGTGAATGTTGAAAACTATCTGTACATGTAATTGGAAAAAATAAATTACTATTAAATTGGGACAGGGGAATGACATTATACTTAGCCTCAGAAGATAGAACTAGCAGCAACAAGGGAGGCAGATGTGGGTTCCTTAAAAGGAACTCTTAAATACTACAGTGGTGTAAGAATGGAATAGGTTACTTTTGCCTTGGAAGTTGGTAAGCTCCCCTTCCTAAATGTGTTCCAGCAGAGGCTGAATTCAATCAGAAGTGATTAGTACTTATCAATTACCTAGGTAGCCCTGGTGGTGCAGGTGCTAGAAAAACAAAGACAAAGCCAAGAACAGTCCCTCCTTTTAAGGAGCTTATAACCTACTGGCTGACCACTGTCAGGAATGTTGGGAAGCCGATTCCTTATTGGGATGGAAGGCTGGACTAAATGATTTCTCAAATCCCTCCCAACTCTACTTCATTGACTTATATTTTTCCTTGACTAAAACAAACACGAAAACTAATTTATAATCTACTTGACCCTAAAACCCAACAAATATTAAAATATATATTTAAACTTGAAATGATCCTAGCGGAGGTGAGGGACAAACAGATGCTCATGGAACAACAGAATGAAATAACTGATAGAAAAGAGGGAAAAAGGGAAGGAGAGAGAAACCAGGAAGATCCAGAGATCAGAAAAATACAAAAGTTAAAGACACAGTGAGAGGAAGAAAAATTAAGAGGAAAAGAGAAACAAAGGAGAAATTTAGACACACAAGGACATAGGCAAAGAAAAAGAAAAACTATTAAGAGAGCAGAGAAAAATTCTGAAAAAGATTATTAAAGGTAAAAGATTAAATTATGTGAACTGTGCCTTTTAGAGGCAATATAATGAAGTAAAAAGTGCTGGATCTAGAAACTGTGCCTTTTAGAGGCAATATAATGAAGTACAAAGTGCTGGATCTAGAAACTAGAGACTAGAATCCAATTTCCTTCTTTATTAGCTCAGTGCCACAAGCAAGTTGTTTATCTCTCCCAGGCTGTTTCCTCATTTGTGAAATGAGGATAACAGTAACTGCCCAGCCCATTTCACAAAGCTGTTATAGGCACTTTGAAAATCTGAGTCGTTATCAAATGAGATAACATATGTAAAGCACTTTTCAAACCTCAAAGCCTACAAAAAATCCAGTTATTATTGCCTCACCTACCATTAAAGATGCTCTTAAGTTAAACAAAAAAAGCTAGTACAAATAACATTGACCTAACCCTTTTCTGTTTAAAATTCAACACCACAGGATCTCAGCACCAAAAAAACCCCAAGGACTCATCTAATCCAACCTCCTACTCCATGCTGGAATTTCCTCAAAAGCATCTTTGACATGGAATAATTTAGCCTCTTCCAGAGATTTGTAGTTCAAAAAAAGAGTCCATATGTACAAAAATAGGGCAGATAGGTAGTGCAGTGGATACAGTGCCCAGCTTGGAGTCAGGAAGACTCCTCTTTGTGAGTTCAAATCTGGCCTCGGGCACTTACACGAGCTGTGTGACCCTGGTGTGCCACAGTGGCCTCAGTTCCTCATCTGTAAAAATGAGATGGATAAGGAAATGGCAAACCACTCCTGAACTGCTGCCAAGAAAACTCCAAATTGGGTCACAAAGAGTGGGACACAACTGAAAAACGACTCGAGGTACAAAAATATTTATAGCAGCTTTTTGTGTGTGTATGATAGCAAAGACTTGGAAACTAAGGGGGTGCTCAACAACTGGAAAAAGTCTAAACAAGTTATGGTACATGAATATGATGGTATACTACCGTGCTATAAGAAATGATGAAGGGTGGGACAGGTAGGTGGCCCAGTGGATAGAGCTCTGGCCTTGGAGTCAGGAGGACCTGAGTTCAAATCCAACCTCAGACACTTGACACTAGCTGTGTGACCCTGGGCAAGTCACTTAACCCCAATTACCTCACCAAAAAGGAAAAAAAAATGATGAAGGGAGTATTTTTAGAAAAACCTGGGAGGACTTATATGAACTGATGCTAAGTGAAGTGAGCAGAACCCAAGAGAACATTTTATACAATAACAACAATACTGTAAAGAACAATCAACAGAAAAAATCAGCAACTTTGATAAACATAAGGACCAACTACAATCTCAAAGGACTGCTAATAAAACATGCTGTCTACCTCCAGAGAGAGGTGTGATGGAATCAGAGTACAGATGGAAGCAGATGTTCTTTTCCTTCTTCCTTTTTTTTTTTAAACATGGCTAATACGGGAATTTATTTTGCATGACTATAAATATGTGTAATAAGCTTTGTTTTTCTTGCCATCCTCAATGGGTGGGAAAAGGGAGAGGAGGAGGGCAAAGAGGTAGAAAGATGATTTGAACCTGAAAATAAAATCAAATTGAAAATAAAAAGAAAGGGGTGCTCACTACCTCAAGCATATGCTCTAGTGAAGAGGCTTAACGTTTTTTCTCTGCTTAAAAGCAAATTAGGAAAAAAACTAAGTTACAAATACACCCATACTTGCTAACTTTGAGCAGGAAGTAAAGCATTTTTATAACAAAATCTGGCAACATAAATCCATTTTTTAAATCAATAAGATTGTTACTTTTCAAAGAAATAAATACTGATCACAGTTAAGCACCGGCACGGGCAGCTGTGGATCCCTTATCAACAACTGGGATATTTGCATGAAACAGAAGCTACTTTTTTTTTAAGAGGTTTCCTGTGAAGTGAAATGAAACAGCAAAGGATAAAATAATGAATAAGGTTAATACTCTGATTCCTGGAGAAGAGAAACCTTTTCCTTTGCACTTTGATGATAAAGATTCCTGTAGGGAATCCTTTGGGGTGGAGGTGACTACCTCCCCTTGTCTCCTCAGGATTTGCTTTCTGGGGCATCAACATCCAGGGATGAAACTTCTGACAGCCCAGAATGCCCTGAGGAAACTGGGGTACTAAGTACCTTCCTCCCAGCCCCCAATCTCAAAGCCCTTTGCTTATCAATGGATCAGTTCCACCAGTCATGGAGGAAATCTTTTCAAGACATCTCTTAAGAAGGAGAAAACCTTCTGGCATCATCCTAGGCCCCCCCAAAACAATGAAATCTTCAGAACAGCAGCTTCTTGGCCCATCCCCTTGGTCTGAAATCATTGAGCACCTCCAAATGAACTCATTGGTCCATTCTCCGATCCCAAGTACACTCTCAGCCAATCAGCAAGCCCTGAGTTTCCACCTCTCTAACGAAGCAATCACTCAGCTGTCTTTCAATCCTTTACATGATAGAACTGCCTAAAGTGCTTCAAGTTTATCTAACCAGCCTCACAAACACAAAACACTACCTATACAAAGACCACCCCCTCAACTTCAGAATGACCTGGAAAGACTTCTGCGGACTGATTGCTGAGTGAAGTGAGCAGAATCAGGAGAATGTTGTACACAGCAACAGCTACGTTGTGCGATGACTAACTTTGATAGACTTAGCTCTTCTCAGCAATGCAAGGATCTAGGACATCTCCAAAAGTCTCATTATGGAAAATGCTATCCACAATCAGAAAAAGAACTATGGAGTTTGAATGCAGATCAAAGCATACTATTTGCTTCTTTTTTTTTCTTCTCTGTTGTTTTGTTTCCTCTTTCTTGTGGTTCCTCCTATTGGTTCTAATTCTTTACAACATGACTAATGTGAAAATACGTTTAACAGGAATTTATATGTATAGCCTATATCAGATTGCACACTGTCTTGGAGAGGTAGATGGGGAAGGAGGGGGAGAAAATTTAAAACTCAAAAGCTTAGGGAAGTGATTGTTGAAAACCAAAAATAAATAAATTAATTTATTTTAAAAAAAAAAGACCACTCCCCTCAAACATGCCCCCTAACCCAAAGAATCACTATTATATGCATGTTAGAACAATGTGGCAACCATTAAACATTTAATTCAACATTTATTAAACTCCAACCAGGTGCCAGGCATTGAATTAGGCACTGGGGAGATACACAGACAAAATCAAAACATAACTAACTTCAAAGAGCCTCATTAACTGCTTTTCCAGGTTCTTAAACAGTCCCCATCCTGTCTCCCAACCCCCATTCTTCCTTCAGGAACTAAGGCAAGTTACTGATTTTTCTCAGCGAGGCACATGGGCTCCGAGTCCTGTTGCCAGCAAAAGAAAGGAGCTATATTGAGTTAACTGTATTCTCTCACCCGGTCTCTATCATGATCAACAACATAAAATGGTGAAATAACTGCCCCATGATCAGAGTTCCTCCTCAAGGCTGAGATTAGGGCTCTGTTTTGTTCAGGCTCAGGGCCCATTCTGTACCAGAGATCAGGTTTGGATTGGCATTTAATAAGTAGGGGCTTAGTCAGTGGCCAATGCCAAGACTTAGTTTGGGACTGAGGTCAGGGTTCAGACTCTCTGATGATGGCTCAAGGCTCAGTCTGGACTGCTCCAGGGCTCACAGAACCAGTTCTCCAAAGTGCACTCCTGGGTTGAGCCCAGATAATAAATGCCTATGTTCAACTTAGCAATCTGGGGCTGTTTGTTTACTGAGCTCAATAAGGAACCAACCAATCCACCCTAAAGCTTCTCCCCTTTTATTCCTGCATGAGGCTGAAAACGAATCTCCCAACTGTATTTTATATCTCACACACATAATTCCCTTCTGTGCTGTATATCACACATATACACAGTAACCCTCTGTGCTGTATATTGAATATGTATACACAATTCCTGTTGTGCACCACGTGCACATACACAATTCCCTTCTGTACTCTGTCTCTCCCTCTCTCCCTCTCTCTCTCTCTCTCTCTCTCTCTCACACACACACACACACACGTACGTGGATTACAGACATACATACAATTTCCTTGGGAACTGCGTATCACATAACTACACAAATGCCCCATGTTGCATAACACAGACAGACAGCTTCCCTCCTCTAGGTTGTATATGACAGACATACACAATTTCTTTCTGCACAGGTATCATTCACCTACATGTATATACTACTCCCTTCTGCACTATGTATCATGCACATGCATATATACAATTCACCTCTGTCCCACCCACATTTTCAGAGGAATTGTGTTTACTTCCTCTAGGATATTTCCGGGTTTGGCACCCCCTCCCCCTCCTCCCAGGACCATGGGAACAAGAAAAGGAGCCACAGGGATATCTAGTCTTGCCATGGGCTGAGAGATCACATTCTGAGTTAAAAAAAAAAAAAAGCTCGTTTGAGCTCCCATCTGACACGCTAGATATAAGGGTGAGGTCATACATTCTTCCTCCCTAGCTCAGACTAGCTAACCCCACCAAGTCTGTTGTTCCACCAAGGGGCCAGGAAATTTTCTGAGTCCCAGATGGATTGATGAGGGAAGGACAAAGAGAAACACCGTCCCCAGCCCAGACTCACTAACCTGCACCCCAGCAATCCTCCCCAACCAAACCAATACAAACCACAGAATCCCTCCCGGAGTTGCTATCTGCCTAAGGTTTAGCCAGGTGAAAATATGGCCAGCTTCCTTGAGAAAAGAAAGATTCTGCCACATTGTTACCTGGAGAACAGACTGTGTTGCTGCTTGAGCACAGATTATAACAGTACTCAAAAGAGAGCCATCGGTAGACAGAAAATAGGAGGTCTTGTCCTAGCCCTTGACTTGGCAAATCCCTGTATGAACTTTGGCCCAAGTCTTTTCCTTTCTCTTGGCCTCAATTTCGTCCTACTTAAAATAAGAGCCCTGCCAGCTCTGTCTTCAGGGTCCGCTCTTAGGAAAGAGTGAGTAGGTTTAATGTACTACCCAGCCTGTGCTTTTCAAGTACTGGTTCAGTCATTGCAGTCTTGTCCGGCTCTTCATTACATCAATTGGGGTTTTCTTGGCAAAAATGCTGGAGTGGTTTGCCACTACCTTCTCCAGCTCATTTTAAAAATGAGGAAACTGAGGCAAACAGGGTTAAGTGACTTACCCTGGGTCACACAGCTACTACTTGTCCAACGCCAGATTTGAACTCAAGGAAGGTGGATTTTTCTGACTCTAGGCCTGGTGCTCTATCCACTGCCTTACTCAAGGCCACATGAGAAGTTCTACACTCTGGGCTTACTCCAGCCCTGAAGCACGTCACTGCTATACAATAAAATAAGATCCACCTACGTATCATTTCAACGTCATTCTCTCATTTGACTCTCTTGACCCTCTTAGCTGGGGAACCCAGGGCAGGATTATCTCCATTTTACACATGAGGAAACTTAAGGCCCAGAAAAGTTACTGTCATACCTCATTCCTTTCTTCTTCCTTCGAAGTGTCTAGGAGTAAGGGGGTTTGACAGACAGTCTGGCACACAGTGGGCCAAACTCAAGCCCCTCAGAGTAAAGGTCTAGCCCAGGGAGGCACGGGGAGGGGCGAGGTTAGAAATTTTCTCCCCAGTTCTGAGATTAATGTTGGGGTTAGTAAATAAAAGGTCCGATAGGTCATGGAGGTCACAGTGACCCTGAAGGGAGGTTACCTAGGGACTCGGTGGAGGTTGGCATCCTAATGTCCTCAAATGGGAGAGTGAGTTAGAGTGGGAGGCAAGGTTGGGAGGTGGACTGGGTTTTGCCTAGACTTGCTTCCCCCCCCACACCCGCATTAGGAAAAGAACTTCTTCAAATGTTGGGATAAGGAGTCAAAAGTCAGGGCTACAGGTCTAGGACCCTCAGTCCTTGCGTCTAAGCCAGGGTGCGGCGGAGGATGGCGCTCACTCCAACGCGGACTCCGTGGCTCAGTGAAAGCACCCACCCTTGTCCAAGAAGGACGTCCCCCTGCCATCACCCTCGGCCCAGGTGGAACCTCTCCCTCCCCAGCCCATCCCCCATCCCTCGCCCCTCGCCCCCCAGCTGGGGCATGCCGAGGCTTCTCTCGGTACCGCACTCACCGCCCAGCGGTGAAGGTAGTAGCGGTAAGAGAAGGAAAAAGCGCCTAGAAGAGGGTGAAGCCGCCATGGTAGGACCTTGGGACGCACCACTGGGCAGATGGACGGACTCACGGACTTACTGGGCGCTCCGTCCCCTTCGTGGGAGCAGGGTCAGGACCCGAGCTGGAGCCCGATCCGGGGTCGGTGGCAGCCTACAGCATCAACCGTCGGAACTGCGGGGGCAAGCGGGACGGGAACAGAGACCCTCCCTCCTTCTAGCCCAGGTCCCGGCCCCGCCCCGTCCTGTTCCCGGAATCCCCCTTCCCCCTCCTCCCGTTCCCTCCTCTCGTTCCCTCCTCTTCCCACCGCCCTCCCCGCCCCAAGGTTGCCCTGGGTGTAGGAGCTACACCCCACAAACCTGGAGGGGCGATGCCTCCCCCTCGACCCATTCACGCACCCCTAGAATTTATATCACGAGTTCGCTTCTCAGCCCGGGAGCCGAGGGGCAGGACGCCAGGGCAGCTCCACCCATCAGTTCTCATTTGAATTTGAACCATGCTCCCTAAATTTGAACAGAAATATTTATAACATCAATTTTGTTGTAGCGAAGACCCCGAAACAATGTGGGCGCTCATCGATTGGGGGCAGCAAATTCTGGTGTATGAATGTAATGGACTGTTGTTGTCATAAGAAATTGAAGTTCGAGCAACTCACTTGGTGAAACTTGAATCAACTCAGATGTGGAGCAAAAGCTGCCCCAAGAGAACACAGAGTTCAAAGACCATAGTGATGTAAAGAAAAACCAATATCAGAAGACTTTAGATCTCTTAGCAAAGCAACGACTAATCATGGCTTGAAAAGACTGATTTTGAGAATCGAAAAAACTGTCTTGGAGAGAGAGGTGATGGACTAGAGGTGCAGAATAAGACCTTTTTTTCTTTCCATTTTGATGTTGATTTATTTTGTTTGAACTATCCTTGTTTGTTGCAAGGAAGGAGTTATGTTTGTAGTGGAGTAATGGGTGATTAGGTAGTTTGATATAAATGCAAAAAGAAAAAGAATTTTTAAAGAAAATGCACAGAAAAAAATTATGACAATTTTTATTACTGCCATATTAAATTAAAGCAATAAAGGCACAGAAAATGGATGACAGTGCAGCAAAAGAGACTGAGAATATTGGTAAACATGTAGAAGGTAAACTGGGAAAGAGCAATGTCATGCCTAAAAGGAAGAAATTTTATGTAATAAGGAAGTCACAATTGCCAAGTTTGTGTGCCTTACATTAACATGTAACTTAATGTACACCTAACTGTACATAACATAAATTCAGTTTCACATCCCTTCCTTTTTTTATTCTTTGAACATGTTCTTTTTTGTTCATTGCTAATCGCCTTACAAATATTTCATTAAATCCTTACAACAATCCTGGGAGATAGATGCTATTATTATCCCCATTTTACAGTTGAGGAAACAGAGACAAATTAAGTAACTTGCCTTGGGTTATACAGCTACTAAATGTCTGAGGCTGAATTTGAATCCATCTTCCTGACTCCAGACCCATGGTCTGTCTACTGCATCACCTGCCTCTAGAAAAAAAAATAGAACTTTATAAACTTCATAACTTCATAAATTGAAAAAAGAAAATTGGTACAACTATTCTGGGGGGGAAATGAGAATTACGCTAAAAATTTCTAAAATGTCTATACCTTTTCATCCAGAGACCCCATGGTTAGTCATTCACCCCAAGGTCAAAGGCAAAAAGAAAGATGCCATAAATACCAACACATTTATAGTAGTCCTTTCTGTGTTAGTAACAAACTGGAAACAAAGTAGATTTCCATCAGTTAAGGAATGGCCAAACAAACTGTTACCTGAATGTATGAATATTGGAGTAAATTCAAAGAATTCAAAGAATCATATGAAGACATGAAATAATGCAAAGCAAAGTAGGCAAACCAGGAAATCCATATACATAATAAATACAAACTATAAAGGAAAGAACAAAAAAACCTGAATTAACATGTATTGTAAAGGTAAAATGGACAAGATGGTAATAGCACATGAAATGAGCAGAACCAAAAGAAAGCTGTATACAGTAATAGCAAAATTGTTCTAAAAACAACTGTGAATGACCAAGTCATTATGAGTATTACAAATACTCAAATCAACTACAAAGGAACTATGAAAGAAGATGCTGTCCACCTCCAGAGAAAGAACTTGTAAATAGAAGTATATATAATATGGTTTTACACACACACACACACACACACACACACACACACACACACACACACACTCACCCCTGTGTCTAATAGTGGCCTTCTCAATTGCAGGTTGGGAAGGCTGGAGGAAAAAAAAACATTAAATGCACAAAAGAAGACTCAGAAGCACAGAAAGGCAGGGTAGCTTTAAAAACAATGTGTAGTATTTAGTATATGGTTTTTTAAAGTTAACAGTGAAATGGAGATTGATAGTTTCATATTGAATCCTCTTTTTGTGCTATGCTTTGTATGTGGACATTTTTTCTTTTTGTATTTAAGTTCAAAATGAACATTTTTTAAAAAGGGGGAAATGGTAATTAATGGGGAGTCAGGAAAAAGGAGGAGTAAAAATGATAGGTTTTGACTGGGTGATCAGATGTCCTCAACAAAAATATCAAAGTTAAGAGTAGGGGCAGATTTACAGGGGAAGACAATTTCATTTTGGACATCTGAGTTTGAAATGTTTATAGAATAGCCAGGAGGAGAAATCCAGCAGGCATCAGATGTATGATTAGAGTTCAGTGGAGAGATGCACAGATTTGGGAGTCATTGGCACTAAGATGATACTTGACCCTATGGAAACTCCAAGAGAACACATATAAATAGAAAAGATAGTGCAGGACTGAGTCTTAGAGAAAACAAAGTGACAGAAGACAGATGATGCTCTAGCAAAAGAGACTGAATATCGGTGAGGTATGTAGAAGGAAAATCTGGAAAGAGCAGCATCATGCCAAAAAAGAAGGGAAAAAATGGCCAAAAGGAAGAGATAATGAACAATATCAAAAGTTGCAGAGAACAAGGATCCCATCAGATTTTCAGCAGTTGAGGGACTGTTTATCACAGACAGAACATTTTCAGTTGAGTATTGGTGCTGGAAAAGGTATCAAAAGGCAATGAGAAGTGACTGGGAGAAAAGGAAGGGAGTATTGGAAATTCTTTGTAGGAGTTTGGCAGTGAAATGGAGGAGAGATACGAAAGGATACCTTGAGCGGGATGGCAGGGTCCAGTGAGAGTTTTTCAAGGTTAAAGTAAATCAGAGCATGTTTGAAGGCGATAGGGAAAAGGCTAGTAGATAGATACAGAAAGATTTAAAAAGATGAGACCAAGAAAAGGAACGGTCAACCAAATTCCTAAAAGAGACAGGCAGGGTAGGATATAGAAAAGAAGGAAAAGAATTGATTTTGGTGAGAAGAGACTTTCTTTTTCTTGGAGACAAATATAAAGGATGGGTGAAAATGTAGAAGGGCTTAAACTGATCAAGTTAGGAAGGAAGGGGAGCTCACAGCATAGGAAATTTTCTCAGTAAAGCTGAGAGGGGGAGTCGAGGAGACATTACAATGCTTGAGGGACAGAAGAGATTTGAAACAGCCTGTGAGGAAGTATGCTAGAGTAACTAAAAGAAAAAGAAAGGTTGATCCCTCCTACAATGCACTTAGGTAATGGTGAGCTTATAATGGACCCTTTGCACACAATGGTATGTTTTTCTCCAGTATCATTCATTAGCTAGAAAGATTGAGTGGTAGAGAGGTTTGAGGATCACATGGTAATACAACAGTGAAAGTTTACTTGGTTAACTATAGGATCCAGACTCCAAGGGAGGGGGAAGTGAAGCCTGAGCAATGATGATGGAGGTACAGGAAAGGATAGAGGAAGTAGTGGTTGTGGTAAGAGTAAAGAATAGGCTTTGAAGAGGCAGCCTGACTTAATAGAGAGCTAACCTTGAAGTCAGAAAGGCCTGGGTTCAAGGCCCAGCTTTAATATATACTTGCTTCATGGGCCCTGAACTGGTGATTTAATATCTCATTGTCCAAGCATCTCTCAGCACTATAAGTTGCAGAGTAGGTACCCATCTGCATTGGCAAAGAGGGTTTGCTCATGAAGAGTTCCCTATATTAATAAAATTACAGATCCACTCCCTCAAAAATAGATTTCTGAGGAATGAGGCAGAGGGAGAAATGGAAGGAAAGAAAAATATGATTAGAGGTTTAATTCAATTCAACAAGTTTTTATTCAGTTCAACTCTGGCCTCAGATATTTCCTAGCAGAGTGACCCTGAGTATGTCACTTAATCTGTTTGCCTCAGTTTCCTTATCTGTAAAATGAGGATAATAATAGCTCCTCCACAGGATTGTTGTGAAGATCAAATGAGGTCATATTGGTAAACTGCTTAACACGTGCCTGGAACATAGTAGATGCTATGTAAATGTTAGCTAGCATCATTTATTATTATTATTATTAAGCACATACAACAATATGCACCAGATACCGAGGATACACAGGAGGAAATGAAAATTGGCTCTCCTGTTAGATGTCAAGGAAGTTGACATCTAACTGGTGTAATGAGTTCAAAATCAAGAAAATGGCATAGCTATGAATAATGATGAGATTCATGGCATGACCATACCTGTGGTATAATGAACTGGAAAGCCAGGCAGATAACAAGGACCTGAACCTGTTGACATAGATTGAAGAAGTGAACCTCTTCAAAGGAGAAGAGGTTTTTGAGTGATGGTGGTAGACTTATAGGTGGTAGGAAAGTCTAGAAGCTGCGAACAAGGAGGATGCCAATTCTTCCTGATCTAACATGTTGGGGGACATAAGAAAAGCCCTGGAGATGGTGGCCAGCAATGCAAGGTCATGTGGCCAGAGCTTGGTTTCCATAAACATAAAAAAGAAATGTGTGAAGAGGTCAAGGAGAAAGGAATATACAATTCTCATACCAGAGACCCTCTACAATCTGGCTCTGACTTCTTTTCCAGCTTTTTCACACTATTCTCCACAGACTCTACTCTCCATCTGCCCCTCATCCTGTCCTCTGTACCCTTTGCTCAAACCGTTCCAATAGCAAACTCATCTTATTACTCTATCTCTTCCTGCTGAAGTTTTCTTCCTTTAAGGTCCAACTAGGTTGTTTCTTCCTTCATGAAGCCTTCCCCAACATCCCTTTAGCTGAAAGTGATACATTTCTTCTGCTCAGATTTTCATAGCACTTTGCCTGGACTTCTCTCTGTATACAAGTTCTGCTTATATCTGTTATTTGTTTACATGGCATGCCCAGATCAGACTATAATAAACTTCCTTCAGGGTAATGTCTTCATTTTATCTATCTTTGTATCTTCCTCTAGTACTGAGCATAATTCCTTGAGTGTAGAACATGCTAAATGTTTGCTGATTTGTCAGTTAGGAAACAAGCTTTTATTAAGGGCTTTCTATGTGCCAGCCACTGTACCAAGCAATAGAAATACAAAAAGACAATCCC